TATCGTCTCTCTGTTGCTCGCTCCTCTTTATAACTCTCTTCTTCAGCTGACCGTTCCCAAGTATATCTAACCACTGTTCTAACCACTGAAGGTCCTTGGACGTGTCACTGCAATCAGATTCCTGGATAGAAACGTTCTGTGTGCTTCTGTCTCTGGCGACTCTGGTGTCTCTCGCGCGTCTGGCGTCTCTGACGACTCTGGCTTCTCTGGCTCCTCTGGCCGCTCTGGCGTCACATTTTCATTTATCTTAGACAAAAATTTGCTTTGATTACTGTCAATGAAATAAGGCTGCACGCAAACCTCGCGCGACAAATTTCTATAAAGTCTCCTCGAGCTGTCTCGAAATTTTAAACGTAGAATATTTTTTCCCGACTTGCTTTACCGACCAGGAATAAATGCCGTGGAAAGAACGCACCTTGCGCACCTTGAAGAGTGCTTAGCGCAGCGATAACGAGAATGAATAAGTACGAAAGATACTTGTTTGTCTCGCGATAAAACCGTTAGGGAAACCGGCTCGATCATGACTTTGATCGACAAAATAAGAACTTTACTATATTTTTCCGTTCTCTTTTTTTTTACAAGAGATTTGATTGGTCCATATGCATGTGCATAAGGAAATAGACCAATCCGTTTCTTTATGCATATGGTTATGCACTTATGCGAGTTTGTCTGGGCTGCGTTCCAACGTTCACTCTAGGGGTGCATTCGGGGAGACGCTATTAACGCTATAAACGTAAACGCTATGAACTTCGTTCGAAGAGCCAATAGCGCGACAGCGATAGCAAGCTCCCCGAACGCAGCTTAAGCGCCAATAATATTTCGTGCCTCACCTCGAAAATAATAGCGAAAATAGCGCGAGTGATGACGTCACGCTGCCTTTACAGTGACGTCATCATCGTATATCACAGCGCCACAAAGCGTCTCCTCGAACAGTTTTGGACGATAATTGTGCTAATAGCGTGCTCCCCGAATGCACCCTAGAACTCATTGGCTGTGTAAGAGAATTTTACTATTTGGGAATTTTACTACACAAAAGTGTGTTGAAAAAAAAGTTCATCGGATTATTATGAAACTTGATACCCTTATGTTTTTTGGGTCTCTGAATCCGAATATGATGTCAGATTTACAAAATTCAAAATGGCGGGTCCAATATGGCGGGTCAAAATAACAAAAAATAGACGAAATTTTATTATTATTTTGAATTTTGAAAATCTGACTTCATATTCAGATTTAGAGACCCAAAAAACATAAGGGTACCAAATTTCATGAAAATCAGACCTTTTTTGGTAATTTTGATCCGCCATATTGGATCCGCCATTTTTCATTTTGTACATCTGATTTCGGATTCGTAATCAGCGATCCCAGAAACCCCCGAGTAACAAGTTTCAAGCAAATTCAGAAAGTTTTACTTTGTTTTTTCTACGTTGCGGCTATAGCCGTCATACACACTCCTTGGCCACTTTTGTTTTTGCGGCTATAGCCGTCATACATAGTCAACGGGTTAACTAAAATGCTATAGGCTGCATTCGAAGAGCGCGCTATTAGCGCTATTGCATCATTCTGTCTTTATCGCTCATCAGGTGTAAAACAAGGATAGAACAAGCAAATAGCGCTAATAGCGCGCTCCCCGAATCCAGCCATAGTGTACGTGACGTAAACTATAGATTTTAGTTACCCAGAGTGACGTTTGGAACCATGTTTGGAACGCAACCTGGCGTGATCTTTATCACTGTGTGATAAAGCTCTTGCAGTGTCAGAATAGATGTATACATAATGGATATGATAAATATTAATGAAATAGAGGACATTAATTTGTCAAGCGAAGATGAAGAAGTGCAAATTCGTGTTCCGAAACGATATATCCGCGATGGCGAAAATCCTTTCGAGTTTTATAATGAATTGGACGTCAAAAAAAGATTCCGTTTTGCAAAAAATTCACATATGTTTAGTATTTTACCGTTAATAGAAGAAGGACTTTCAAAAATTAACACGCGTGGTTTACCAATAACACCAGTTTTTCAATTATTATTATTCAGTATTTCTTTACGATTTTATGCAACACAGCAAGTTTTCAGGTTAGTTCAAATTGTATTACAGTTTAATTAAATTCACAATTATATAAATATTAAAAATCTTTTATATAAGGTAAAAATATGTAAATATGTATGAATATATAAATATTTGTAAATGTAAAATATATATATTGTTGCGAGAATAATATCGGTTTATTTTTATAGCTTGTCATGGGAGATGGAGCTATACCCAGATAGCACAGCTGATCTTTATGAATTCAAAAAGATCTGAATCTGATCTTTATGAATTCATAAAGATCAACTGTACTATCTGGGTAGGTTTATCTTCTTTTAGTGGAGCAATTGATTGCACGCATATTCGACTGACACATACTAGATTTCAAGCCATTGATGAAATATTTAAAAATCGAAAAGGATATTTTTCGTTAAATGTTCACACACACAAGTAAGTATTTTAACAGTTTTAATTTATCCCTTCGTTTTCTACCGACACGTGTGTGACTGCGATATTCTCGTTTCTGTTCCGAGATGTGCGACTCTCCGTATCCACACCGTCTTGCTACGACTTTTTAATTAATGTATATATTGTATTTTTGACTGCTGCAGAACTTGAGTCGAAATGTCCACCATAATCGTGTGTACCAGCTCGTTTATCACGACATCTCTCCAGGAAGGGAGTTTGCTACCTCGAGCCCTGCAGAAATAATTTCCTGTTTGTGCTAATAAAGCTGAAGATGGCTCAAAGGAAGAGCCGAAACGTTCTTTACTTGTAAATACACGTTTTAATTTTTATTGCGCACCACGTTCCGCGCTTGACTCGCATCGCCGTTTGTACAGATGACATTTTCACGAGTCTAGATATATTATTAGTTTTAATTTAATTTTAACATTACATAATATCATTACAATGTTATCTTGAATATCGTCATATTTTTTAATTGTAGAAAAAACATTTCATTACATACTTAATATAAAAAAAAACGTTACATTAGTAATTACATATTAGTACATAATAATAATATTTAGAGCAAAATAAAATTAAACAAAAGAAAATAAAAATAAAATAAAATGTATATAATTTGTACATGGTTGTACTTTATTACACGCAACTGACTAAAGCGGGGAGCATAAACTTTTGCATAACATAAATGCAAAAGTCTGTACTCAGGCTTTAACATTCTAACATTAACATTAACAGGGACTGTCTTTTCTTATAGCAATGTAATTTATTTTTTTACGGATAAGTCTATATTTTTCTTATCTACGTCGGTATTTTTGAGCTTTGATTTCTTTATTTCTATTTCTATTTTTTGTATTTCTTTTAAATGGTTCACGTGCAAATCGTTAAATAATTTTAAATGCTCTTCTTTCATAAGTGTTATTTTTTTCTTCGTGTTTTAACTTAATGTTTGCTAATGTTTCTTCTTGTTTTATAACATTTTTTAATCTTTGTATTCGTACGTCCTCTTCTTCATTTGATACTTCGAGCAGATCTTTTCTCTTTCGTTTAAAAACACGTCATTTTCTCATATCGTTATTTAAATGTACTTTTAACATATCTGTACTGTGTGATGTCATCAGTTCTTCATTACAGTCTTCTGCAATAATAACTGTTCTACAAAACACAAAAAGATATATAGTGTTACACGTGTATTTTGTACTTGCCGTAGTCAAAGAAATACGCTTTAATGGATAAATATATAACAAAACGTTTATAAAATAATACTTTGCGAAACAGTAGTGCTTTCTACATCATCTATGTTTATCACATGTCCCTTTTCTTTCGTAAATAATACTTCTACACCTTCGTTAGCAGACATGATATCAAATACAAACTCACGTTTATCTGAAATGCACGAAATAATGAAAGTTCATCGTCATGTTTGATATATCAAAAGCATGTGTTGCTGAGACAGCTTAGCCGTAACTTTAACATACGGTACATACGACAATGTCTTACTTTTGGTGACCTGTAGTATAAGAGATAAAAAATATTCTTACGAAAACTTTATTCTAAAGTCTAAAAGTCTAACAGTTAATTAATATATAATATACCATTACGTTCTTTTTCCGTCATATTAGATGAAAATACGACTGGTGCGGTTTTCATCAAATGGGGTGCACGGTTGGCAATGTCAGGATCAACTTCTGTTCTTGCTTCCTGTGGTACGTCCTCCACCCGTTGCCATGAGTGCGTGTTTCTCCTTTGTTAATGCTCCTCGTTGACCGTGCTTTTGCCCACAGTTTCTTTACGTGCTGAACAGTTCTCTGTTATCAAACGTATTTAAAGATCAACTATATATTTTATTTCACATAAAATTTTATGTGAAATATGAAAATGCGTAAACTAAAATAAAAAAATAGCTAATATGAAAGAAGATTATTTAAGAGAGATGAACTACAATCACGATACTTAAATATACATAAAAATATTAAATCGTTTGCATTGCAATATAGTACACCTCTGTAGACACATAACCCCGGTCTCCCCTAATACAGCTACAGGCCGCAGGGGGAAGTGATCCGTGCAGTTTTTCGGGCCTAACGTATTTTCTCTTAATTTAGGCAGTGCTTACCTCGTGACAACGTAATGTTGATTGATTAAATTCATTGCATATTTCGCACCATGCAACGTCCTTATCTTTCAATGTTGTGCCGTCATTTTTCTTTACTTTTATTACATGTTTGTATTTATCAAGTATTTGTAGAAATACTTTCTTTTCCATAGATGTGTACGGTTTGCTTTTGCTACTTTTTTCTTTAGAAGCCATTTTACAAATAAACGTGTACTTAAATTTAAAAAATCTTAAAAGAAATAATTATCACAAATACGCGTTTACTTATAATAAACTTATAACTTCAAGACGTACTGGACAACAGCTATGACTAAACACAAAATGATAATCAAACTGTGCCGCCTGGCACGTGGCACGGTGCACGGTCTTGGTTAATGATGTACAAGATGTGCACACACTTTATAAAAGATTCGACATTCTTATTGGAGGAACCAACAGAACGAGTACGGAAACAGCCGATCGAGAATAAGCATGGGGATCAAGCCGTCTGTAATACCGACAATCGTACTTTTCGCTTTATTTTTTATTGGCTTTATGGATTTGAAAAAATCTTGCACAGAATTAAAGTATGTGCTCTACTCTGTGGACGACCACCAATTTTGTAACAAAATAAGTAAATAAGATAATAAACAAAAATCCACTTTAACAATATTTGCTTTGTATAAAAATTCTACAACTCGAGACTGTATAGTTATACGTCGCGTATACTAGACAGGAAACATTAACACAGTATTGTGCGTTACATAAGACAAAGACTTAAGGCATAAAACACTGCCTTAAGGTTATAAGACAGCCATTCTGCTTAGGCCCTAGTGCTAAGACTCCATAGACGCGGAAACGCCGTGCGGTAGAGTGCATTGACCAATCAGAAGGCTGCCGCAAGTCGCCTGCGGCAAAATCAAAATTTGTGATTGGTCAACGCACTCTGCCGCATAGCGTTTCCGCGTCTATGGAGTCTTAGCATAAGAGTGTTGTACGGCGTGGTTGTAAACCGGTACTGCGGTTGTAAAATGTGTTGTAAAAGATGGTTGAACTACTACCTCGATATACTTAGCAGACAAATTTGATATTTCTTATTATTGATTATTTTAATAGTTTGGGACGTGTTTGGGCAAGTTTAGGAATATAGTTTCATAGTTTAGGAAATAATAGTTTATTTATAATTAATAAAAATTAATTAAGCGTATAGTTAGCAGACATAATTTTAAAACCACGTGTTTTTTTTTTTTTTTTATCAACGTGAAATTATTTGAGAAACACGTCTGTAATGTTTTAAACGTTTGGCAAATAATGATTTCATCTGAAAATCAAGTTACACGTGCGACAGTTGGACAGTTTCACCATGGTTTGTAAGTCATCCAATCACAGCTGAGAACGTGGAAAGTACTGCTAATGCTAAGACTCCATAGACGCGGAAACGCCATGCGGCAGAGTGCGTTGACCAATCACAAATTTCGATTTTGCCGCAGGCGACTTGCGGCAGCCTTCTGATTGGTCAACGCACTCTACCGCACGGCGTTTCCGCGTCTATGGAGTCTTAGCATAAAACATAAAAGAAACGTTTACTTTCCCCAAATGGATTCATTATTATAGTGCTAATTGTGACCAACTGTCCAGCTATCGCACGTGTAACTTGATTTTTAGATGAACGCATTATTTTGAATAAGACCCGACTATGAATACCGGCCTTAAAAAATTATATATATATGTAGTTGAAAATAAACATTTATTTTTATCAACGTCGCCTATACTTCTTAAAGCGTATTTGTGTTTGTGACGGAGTGTATGTATGTGTGTATGTGTGTTTGTGTGTGTGTTTTTGTTTGTGTGCGCACGCGGGCGAATGTATAGGGGTGTGTGTGCGTGCGTACATGCATATTTGCGTCAATGTAAATATTTTATCTTCAAAACCATGCTTAATAATTTGTAAATCCTCTTTCGTATTTTAGGGATAGAAAGACCAATAAAGACGTATATATGAAATAGGGGTAGAAAAGATTTTTTCTACCCCTATTTCATATATACATCTTTAAGATTTGATTGATTAGATCCATTTTAATATACGATCAAAGGTCTATAATTTTTTTTACATGTGAAATATGTGTGGCAAATTTTGAATTATATATCGGGCTATTTATAGTTTTATTATATTCTTGGCAACTTTTCTTTAAGCTTAAAACAAAGCTTCCTCTATGAGGAAGCAATATATGTTTTCCCACGTTATCTTGCATTTATTTGAAAAAAAATGCATTATACAGATAGGACATAAAGAGATTATAAAGGTAATCTTTGCAATATCAAAAATATATCCTGATATTGCAAAGATTACCGCCTTATCATGTCCTTATATGTCCTTATCAATTGTTGCACTACAACACTATTCTCGTTTATGTCTTCCAGCAGTTCCTTGCCCTTATTGCCAAGATTGATTTTGTCTTTACCATGATATGCTTGCGCGTTCTCCTGCCTCCTCTTCCCTGCGACATCGCGATTCCTCTTACGTATCTCCCTTGATTAATCTGCTCGTTAACTGTACAGGGAACGCATGAACTGGTATAATATGCCTACCTCTCGGTATATATATATCTATATATAGGCCGAGACTAAGCTCTCTGGATTCGGGGAGCGTGCTATTAACGCTATTTGCTTATTCTATCCTTGTTTTACACCTGATAAGCGATCAAGATAGAATGATGCAATACGTATTGCATGTTATTATTATTATTTTTTAATTTAATTTATTTATTTATAGCAACGTGAGAATTATATCGCCAGTAAGTGAAAAGAATTCAGCTTTGGTGTACTTTATTCGACCCAATTGGCCAGCTTTATTAAATAGAACACTACGTTTCAATCTCGGGTTTAGGTCCTTTATAAGCGTCACAAGTACAAATTATTAATTAATTAGGCATAATGCCTGCTTTGTGGCGTAGCAGGCATTATGCCTATATAACTAATAATTTGTATTTGTGACGCTTGTAAAGGACCTAAACCCGAGATCGAAACGTAGCGTTCTATTTAATAAAGTTAGCCAGTTGGATTGAATAAAATACACCAAAGCTGACGTATTTATTTCTTTATTTATTAGTTATTATGTATTTATACGTGTTATTGTATTATTTTTGTAGTATCACTTACAACTGCAAGGAAAGCAGCCGCAAACGCTACGTATATAGATATATGTATAAGTTATACCGTATTACTTTTTATTTAGCATTTATATTTTATAACACGCTGTGTACTTTCTTTGCTTTAACGTTTAAATTTTACGTTTTAAAAATACGTGGAAAGTTTTAGTTTTAAAATTTAGCAGTTTTCTTTTATCTAGTTCCTTTATTATTTTTATTTCCTTTATTCAATATTTTACTGATTAACAACGTTATTGGTAAAAAAAATACATTTTATATTAATATAACATACTTAATGTTGTTTTACAGAAAAAAGTAATGATAAAATGTGGAGGAACGACACCACGCCTAACACGTCATCTCATTCTTGAAAGAGTAATATTTGCTACGAAATGTGCTTTGGACTGCTCATGCTGGAGATGACTTTGAAAAGTCTCCGATAACTTTGAAAAGTGTGTTCGCGGAAAAAAATAATATATACAGAATATTCTTAGTTACAAGGATTTATGAATACGAGGAATAAAATAGTTAACTAATAAAGTAATTAAAAATGAGTATTCGACGGATATATATATGTGCTTACCACGGCCAAAACTATTATCACGAAGAGGCAGTTCTCGATGACACTGTAAAACTTCAGCACGTATATGAGATCAACTGAAACAGTGCGTGAAACAATTCGAAAAACGGCGTTTTGGCGTTAAACTTATAATACAAATAAACACAAAATACAATATATTTTCTATTTCGTTCGATTATATTCTGGAAAAACAAAACATTTTTCCGTATAAGATATTTGAAAGAAATAATAATGGGTACATGCAAAGCTTTATACAAATTAATGTCAAAACTTAATCAGGCGAAGCTCGAGGCGAAGCCACAAAACAAGCCATGCACATTTTCCCCTTGTCGGCGACAACTTCCTTGGAGCTTGAGGACACGTCCCGTAACAAGTCGCCCTAGGCGCTTGCCGGAAGAGTTGTCTACTCGCCTATTTTTCGTGAACGAAAGCTACATTCATATATCTATAAAATCTCATTTTTATGATATAATATCTTTGTAAGTTATCGCGTGCAATCATTTCCAATAAAAGTTGTGGAGTCAATTACGAGATCTTAAAAACTGCTGTGCAAAAAATAACACTTTACTTGCGTTTCTGTTTCACGTCTCAAACGTTTCGCATACAAAGCGATATTGATTTTGAACGAGGTTTTACGATGCCGATGGTTATTATACATATATTTAGAATATTGCGCGCATATATCGCGGAGACCGGTGAGCCATAAAAATTTAAACTCTGAAAAGTACCTACTTTTAAACGTAAGATTTTTTGTCTCATTTTTTTTATAATTAAAGCACTATGTATATTTTAAAATTTATTTAGCGTATTTGGCAACGATTACGTAGTTTTTGAGAAAAAAATTAAAACACATTTTAGCGTTAGGGTACGCCAGAATGTTTATAAACATTCTGGCGTATCCTAAACAGTCACGCACCCATGGTACCCCGTGGCTCATGGGGCGCCGGTCTCTCCTAATCCGTTTTAATGAACGAGACAACGCGACAGTGAGAGAGAGAAAGAGAGATGATACGGATGATGACGCGCTCGTTATTAGGCGCTCCGGGCGTGCTCCCCTCAAGCGCATATACAAAAGAAAGAGAATACAAAGTGACAAAAATAACAAAAATAATATGTATATCTATAACATATGTAAGAGAAAAAAGAAATAGAGAAAAAGAAAACAAAATAACAGACGAGAAGAATCGCTATTATTGACCTTGTAGCTGTGTGTTGAGTAAATATTTAAATAAGCCACACTTAAAAATTCCTTTCGTGGAGGCATTACGCAAGTCTAGTGGTAAGCTATTCCATAGTTCGGCCGCGAAACTAATGAACGACTTTTTATATAGTTCCGTTCTGCATTGAGAGAGAGAGAGAGAGAGAGAATCGAATCGAATCGAATCGTTATTTATTACACGCTCTGGGATACATCCCCTAAAGCGTATATAGAAACATATGTACAGAAAGTAGACGTAGTGTAATAATATATAACACAGATATGACTGTAGTCGCAAAAACAAAAAAGAAAAGATATAAAACTATAAAATAAGAAAAAATTAAAAATAGGGAAAAAAAACATTAAGCGCATAATCGGTATCAGCCGTGGGTTCGTCCAGACATTGCAA